GGGTAGGTGTGAGGGGTGGTGTGAGGATGGTGTGAGGGTAGGTGTGAGGGTGGTGTGAGGGAGGTGGATGAGGTGGTGAGGGTGGTGTGAGGGTGGTGTGAGGATGGTGTGAGGGAGGTGTGAGGGAGGTGTGAGGGAAGACTTGGGTCATCCACGACTCCTCATTCCCTCAGGTCTACTTGATTGTCTTTGGATGAGGGGTGAGGGAGGGGTATAGAGGTGAGGGGAGGGAGGATGATGTCATGGAGGTGAGAGAAGGGTAGCATGGAGGGTGGGATGATAGCATGGAGTGGGGGGTAGCATGGAGGGGGAGGAGGGGGTGTTATAGTGAGGCGTGGTGGGGGGGGCAGGTAATAGAACAGGAGGGCGGGTTGGGAATAGGCCTAGTTAGGTATACCTGTATATAGAGTAGCAGGTAAGGGTTAGGTTAGGTTAGGTTAGGCTACGTTTAGGTTAGGTTAAATTAGATTAGATTAGATTAGGTTAAGTTAATAACATGTAAAATACGTCAACAAAACCCAGCAGTGAAGGGAGTTAACGCAGTGATTGTAATCCGGTGTGAGCTTAAAATTCACTGCTGGGGGCGTAATTTCACTGTTGTTTACTGTTTACTGCAACTTGGGTGTATAGTTGACAGGTGTGTAGTATAGCTGACAGGTGTGTAGTATAGCTGACAGGTGTGTAGTATAGCTGACAGGTGTGTAGTATAGTTGACAGGTGTGTAGTATAGTAGACAGGTGTGTAGTATAGTAGACAGGTGTGTAGTATAGTAGACAGGTGTGTAGTATAGTAGACAGGTGTGTAGTATAGTAGACAGGTGTGTAGTATAGTAGACAGGTGTGTAGTATAGTAGACAGGTGTTATAGATACAAGTAGGAGGTTTTTGTCTCTTGTATTATTTATTCCTTTAATCTATTTTTTCTCTTCTCGTTTCTCCCCTATTCCTTATCTTTCCTCTATCTCTTCCTTTCCCTTCTCTCCTCTTCCCATTTTTCTTTCCTTTCTACTTCCTTCTTTTCTCTCCCATTTCTATTTCCTCCCCTCCGTCCGGGCGAATCTGGTTGTGGTCAACGGCGGCAGGGCCGGTGGGACGGTGGGCGGGGCCGGGATGGGTGGGCGGGGCGGTGGGACGGCCCTCCTGGTGAGTGGTCAAAAGCCTGATAATACCTAAATAAAGAAGAGATAAAGAGCGTACATAATGGAGGAAAAAAAGAAGAAAAGGGCAGGTAATAGGAAGATAAAGGAGGAAATGGAGGTGAACGATGTAGCGGGAGGAAGGAAAGAGAGGAGGAGGAGGGGGAGGGGAGGGGAGGGGAGGGGAGGAGGAGGTGGAGGAGGTGGAACAGGAGGAGGAGGAGGGCCAGACAAGAGTGTGAACGAGACCACAAAGGACCACACACACACACACACACACACACACACACACACACACACACACACACACACACACACACACAAAAAAAAAAGTCGAAAAGGCAAGAGGTCTGGAAAAAAAACAATAGCTGGTCAACTTCGCTGGACAATGAGGAAAATAAACTGTGTGTGTGTGTTTTTTTTATCCCTTGCGACACATAATTAAGTGAACTGAAGTGTTTTATTTATTTATAACTTTTTCCTGTATTACCGTTTACAATGCTATTTTCTGTTACTGGAACCAAGACGCCCTCACTCACACGATCCCTCACGCCCCCTCACTCACGATCCTCACACAAGACGCCCCTCACTCACACGATCCCTCACACAAGACGCCCTCACGATCCCTCACCACTGACCAGCCCTCACTCACTGACCCTCACACAAGACGCCCCTCACTCACCTCGACCCCTTCACACAAGACGCCCCTCACCACTGACCCCTCACACAAGACGCCCCTCACCCAAGGCCACATCACACGACCCCTCACAAGACGCCCCTCACTCACACGACCCCTCCACACAAGACGCCCCTCACCTCGACCCCTCACACAAGACGCCCCTCACTCACTGACCCCTCACACAAGACGCCCCTCACTCACTGACCCCTCACACAAAACACTCCCTCACACAAAGACGCCCTCACCACTCGACTCACACAAGACGCCCCTCACTCACTCGACCCCTCACACAAGACGCCCCTCACTCACTGACCCTCACACAAGACGCCCCTCACTCACTCGACCCCTCACACACACAGATTAATGACTACCTTAGCGTGGTATTCCTTTATCTGAAATCTGTAATTAGGATCTACTTTACCGGACGACCGAAACGATTAATTACCTTCGGATTCCATACAAGTGGGAATGCCAGAGACAATGAAAACTTACCGAGGATTTTTAATAACCTCTTGAGGGCCTGTGCTTTACCTGTGGGTTTTTAATCTAATTAATTCAAACGCATAGGTACGGTTCTTGATATAGATAAATGTACAAGAAGATTGAGTGGATTTCAACATTTTAATAGTGCTAAACATCATATAAGAGTAACCTAACTTTAACCTAACTAACCTATCCTATCCTAACCTAACTTAACCTAAACTATCCTAACCCATCCTATCCTAAAACTATACAGCAACAAGATCATCTCTGAGTTTCTGGTTCTGATAAGTTTACAAATCCTGTATAAATTTTAGGGGTCGATGGCTGGATTCCCGGGTGCTCTCAGTTGACCAAGCTGTAAATAGGTACCTAAGTGAAGGCGGTCGAGTTCACTACCGGCCCTGCTGCTGCCTCCTTGTATACCGAAGGCTAGGTATACAGTGTGACCCACTTTCTCTTTTCATGATACACTGTGTGACAACTGTACAAAAAACAATAGTATACTGGTACACACTCTCTGGGGGTCTCTCAACACTGAGTGGATTATGTTTTAACAGTCACCAAAAATCTTTCATTACTTGTTTTAACACCAGGCGAGGATGTGTGTGGTGTGAGGTGTGTGTGTGTGTTGTGAGGGGTTGATCCTGTAGGTGGTGTGTAGAGGTTAGGTTAGGTTGTGTGTGGTAGAGGTCAGACACTTGCCACACTAGGGGGTCACCATACACGATGTTCCCCGACAGGTTGGGTTAGGTTAAGTTAGGTTAGGTTAGGTTGTGTGTGGTAGAGGTCAGGCACTTGCCACACTAGGGGGTCACCATACACGATGTTCCCCGACAGCTTGGGTTAGGTTAAGTTAGGTTAGGTTAGGTTGTGTGTGGTAGAGGTCAGGCACTTGCCACACTAGGGGGTCACCATACACGATGCTCCCCGACAGGTTGGGTTAGGTTAAGTTAGGTTAGGTTAGGTTGTGTGTGGTAGAGGTCAGACACTTGCCACACTAGGGGGTCACCATACACAATGCTCCCCGACAGCTTGGGTTGGGGCAAAATTCTCCTTTATGTAAATTTGTTTGTTTTTAGGAGGAGGTGATGTATTTCCTCGGCCCTTATCATCGTATTTCTCACAACAGTGTTACTGATATGAATATGGAAATTGAAGATGCAACGCCCAAGAATGTAAAAACGAGTGTGTGGGTGTGTTAAAGAGAGAGAGAGAGAGAGAGAGAGAGAGAGAGAGAGAGAGAGAGAGATTAACCTTACCATAAACGTACAACTCTATTTCTCAACCAAACCAGAACAACAATCTTTTTTTTTAAATATTCATAAGTTATTTGCATATTTACTTTTCTACGCTAGAACAGTCGTAGAAATTTAACCTACCTCTACTACCTAAAAAAAAATAATATCAATTTCAGCACTACAACACAAGCCTCATAAACAGAATGACCACAGGTACTATATTCTCGTAATTAGAAGAGTTACCTGTTGTACCTCCCTCTGTGACGACAAATGATCTCCCTGTAACCATTTGCTTACTAAACAGCTTCTCCCTTAGTCCTCTGATTCATAAATAATATTATCCATTTCATTAACAGCACCATTGATGTTACCTGATTTTGAATCTTTGTTAAGTGTTTATAGCAATGAATCGTTCGTATTCTTCTGTATTATGATATGTTGGTTATTGATGTTATAATTATTCAGTCATATTGTAATTATGTGTATATTTATAATTCCGGTGTTCAGATAATGTGTTTACCTGTCATAGAAATTGTCCTTATTAGCAGCGTCCGAGAACGTGGTCACTCATCAAGCATGGCCACTTACTGGGTGACTCCTCCCACCTGTTGAGTGTGTGTGTGTGTGTGTGTGTGTGTGTGTGTGTGTGTGTGTGTGTGAATATTAAGTACCCTGTTAGAATAATTATGTACTGAAGAAAGCCACATAAATAATAAACAATCTTTAGGTGCGCAACACTCAGGAGAGCAGTACACAGTGGTGCTTGTTAGTAACGTAAACAACAGGTGCGCGCCTCACCTGTCACGGCCTTGACCATGCTCCTGAGGTTCTTGAGGGTGAGTCTGACGAGGGAGGAGTTGAGGGCGACCTTGCCTTGGTGATCTACGGTGGTGAGGAAGATCTTGGTGTCTTTCACTCTGGCCCGAGATTGGCACACGCCCCACCCTCCAAGTCCCTTCACCTGGAGTACTCGACCCGCCAGGCTCTGTCGCCCCTTGAATACTCTCTTTACTCTCACTCCACCAGTCAGGCCTTCAGCATCCACAGTGTGGCGGCTGACGACTGTTTTGCCTCCAGCGAGCCACTCAACACGCCCCGTGAAGATGAGGGTGGCCAGTTCCTTTCGCTCCTCCAGCGTCAGGTGATCAGGGCAAACGGGGGGTACCTCTGGGACTGTGGAGGAACTCGGGGGCTCAGGGAGGGTGTGAGACCGTCGACGATGTGCCCTCTCCTGACGTCTGGCGTTCTGGCGACGAGGCCTCCTGATCCTTGGCCCCGCCGCGGTCACCATCACTAACAAACAAATCACCACTAACAGTCGCATTGTTCTACCTTGCAAAATCCACATATTCATAAATCACTTCAAATATCCTTTATCGCCGCATTAATCACCAAAATACACATAAGGTTACACCCACTCCCTCTATCACACAACAATATGGGGTGTACACAAGTAGGTGTCAGTGATGCTCTCGAGAGGGCCCTGGCGCACACCTCAGCTGAGTCACCGAGAAGGCTCGCACACTCCAGCTTCCGTCCAGTCTGGGGCCACGAGCCACACTGAGCCAGCCACGAGAGGTGCGACGCGATGAACCTAAGTCCCGGAGGCCCGGCAAGGTGAGGCTGTGGTGGGCCCACCCAGCCGTCAGTTAAGACAAGCTGTGTTGATAACCCAGCTGGCACAGGTGAGATTGGGGGTGAACACTAGTTACTAATGACGGAGATAATTACATACGTGCGGGATACCTGACGAAGGGTATTCATGGAACTTTACAAGGAAGGTATTTTAGAAATGAGGAAGGGCAAAGCTAACAGGTAGAGGGAGGCTGGAGGTGAATGAAGAGGAGTAAGGTGCCAAGAGTATGAGGAGAAGAAAGAACCCAAGAACCAGATACTACTGTAGGAGTGAAGTCAGGAGTCAGGGAGAGTATAATATGTATTAAGGAAGAGGGAGAGACACATGAAGGGAGTGAGGAAGTGAGTGAGTGAGTGGGGAAGGGAGGAAGGGGGGAGAGAGAGAGTGAAGGAGGAACGGAATGAGTGAGTGAGTGAGGAAGGCGGGGCAGAAGGGAAACAAGGATTAGGATGGAGACAAGGTGTGAGGCGGATTAAGGAATGGGTGGTGACGTGACTACAGGTAATCTCTTTTAAGATACTCACACACAATAATAATAATATTACTACTAATAATAATACTAATACTACTACTACTAATAATAATATCAATACTAATACTAATACTTTCAGAGGAACACAAATAATTATACTAATCGGTGGTAAAGAATAAGGATTGAGTGTTGAAAGAAACAAGAATTATATATTTTTTTGACGCATTGTTGACACACAGGACACATTAATGACACACAGAACACATTAATGACACACAGGACACATTAATGACACATAGAACACATTAATGACACACAGAACACATTAATAACACACTAGAAAACACCTGAGTTGATTAATAAACAGATGATAACATACAATAGACTTGACACATTGATGACAGCTGATATATGATTGATGACAGACTGACAGTAACTAATAAGCAAGCAATAACTGAAAGGGTGTACGATAAACTAGTACAGGTACACATAGGGTAAGTGTCCTCAGTGGGGGTAAAATAACACACAGGTAAATTATAATGAAGGTAAAACCATAAAGATGAAAATATATTGTTTGTTATAAAAGATAATTGTGAGGTTAATGAGATAGAGAGTTTGTGTGGTAGTGAATACAAAAAGGTTTATATTAGTCCCAGTGTTATGAATTCAAGGTAGTAGTAGTATTTTATGAAGCCTTGTGAGAGATAGGATTTGGTATGAGCATTAGAAGGTGTAAGATAATGATAAAAATAATAATAATAATAATAATAATAATAATAATAATAATAATAATAATAATAATAATAACATCTAGGCTGTAAAGACTACAAACAATCTCTTCTTTCTCTCAACAATCTCTTCCTTTCTCTCAACAATCTCTTCCTATCTCTCAACAATCTCTTCTTTCTCTCAACAATCTTTTCCTATCTCTCAACACTCTCTCCTTTCTCTCAACAATCTCTTCTTTTCTCTCAACAATCTCTTCCTATCTCTCAACAATCTCTCCTTTCTCTCAACAATCTCTTCCTATCTCTCAACAATCTCTTCCTATCTCTCAACAGTCTCTTCCTATCATCTCTCCAGTAAGTGGCCAAACCCGTCTAGAATTTATTGTATATATTAAGTGAAAACTCACCTGGCCTGTACCTGAGTTTATTAATTTGCTTTTTATAGGGGATAGTTAATCATTTGAGAGAGAGAGAGAGAGAGAGAGAGAGAGAGAGAGAGAGAGAGAGAGAGAGAGAGAGAGAGAGGAGAGAGAGAGAGAGAGAGAGAAAAAGACCCTCAATCGTCTCTCTAATACACATAGTCATTTGTCAATATACAGGGTGGTGCAAAATGAAGTTAACCAGTGGCATGGGTGAGAGAGGGGGGGAGGGGGGTGAGGGGAGGGGAGGGGAGGGGAGAGAGGGGTTCGGGCTGACTAATACTGTAGCATTTGTTATCCTAAGGACCTTCATCATGTTGCTAATAGCTCGTAATTACTTCTCCAGTGGTTCATGTTGTTCACGTCAATGGTGTTAAAGTAGGGGGTGAAATGTACGGCAATTGAGATCTTAAATGGCTCAATCACGGGAGTATATTGTTATTTATTTATTTTTTATTTTTTTTATTTATTTTTAGATATACTTTTTGTTTTATTTATTATTTTTTTATTTTTTTTTTTGGGGGTGGGGGGAGCTCGGAAAATTGCTCCCAAATCGACCAAGTGTACCTATGATAAGTGATTTCGTAATAATAACACGAGTTTATTTTTATTTTACATATATATATATTTATATTTTAACTTGACTATTTCCACATTTCACCTACCACAGTGACATCTCCAGGCCAGAGTTTATATTCACTTAAAAAACATTTCAATTTCATCAATAAAAAGATTTAATATACATATATCACTAAAAAAAAAATCCCACATTTTAATAAACTTCACAAATGGGAAAGTTCATAAAAGGTTAAATTATCATATAGAAAGTAACTTTAGCTTACTTGCTGTATACTGGCTGTCAGGTTAAACACAGGTCAAGTTACACGACAGTAGCTAAAAATATGAATGGAATGACTCGCCCCATCACCCAGCCTAACATGGGTACAGTTCATCAGCTGTGTGTAAAAGAGGTATATCTATATAATTGGTTTTGTAATGCATCCAATAAGTGGTTTTTAGTGTTTATAAACCATTTGTATACGAGCAGACGGACGCACAGAACGGACACCGGACGGACACACAGACGGATACATACAAGGACGGTCGGACGGACGGTACCTCTTTGGACGGGGACGGACGGTACCTCTTTGGACGGGGACGGACGGTACCTCTTTGGACGGGGACGGACGGTACCTCTTTGGTCGGAGAAGATAAACTTAGTTATATTATCTGAGGAAGAAACGTAGACAAATTATTCAACTTTGACCTCCATCTGTGATCCCCTTCAACCGTTTTCTATTCAATCCCTTCAAACGTTTTCTAATCAATCGCTTCAAACGTTTTCTAATCAATCCCTTCAAACGTTTTCTATTCAATCTCTTCAAACGTTTTCTAATCAATCCCTTGAAATGTTGTCTAAGGCTGCTGGAACACTAAAACACGTCTTGAACCATATACCAGTAATAACGTCTCTATCACGTGGTAATAATGACAGTCCTCGTACACAAGAGCGAGAGACAACGGCGAGAGACAACGGCGAGAGACAACGGCGAGAGACAACGGCGAGAGAAAACGCCGAGAGACAACGGGGAGAGACAACAGCGAGAGACAACGGCGAGAGAAAACGCCGAGAGACAACGGGGAGAGACAACGGCGAGAGACAACGGCGAGAGACAACGGCGAGAGACAACGGAGAGAGACAACGGCGCGAGACAACGGGGAGAGACAACGGGGGAGAGACAACGGCGAGAGACAACGGCGAGAGACAACGGCGAGAGAAAACGCCGAGAGACAACGGGGAGAGACAACAGCGAGAGACAACGGCGAGAGAAAACGCCGAGAGACAACGGGGAGAGACAACGCGATCGATGAACTAAATTTTTTGAGCCATCGACACAAACTTTATCTTCTGAGGAGCCAATGATTCAGTTTATTGTACAGTAATGGTGATGTATGGACGCATCTGGCTCCTGTCCTTGTTATCCTCACTATCCTCACTACAGAAAAAATAAATAAAAATAAATATAAAATATCTTCAAGTGGCCAACCATCAGGTATCTTAACAAGGTGAGACACGGTGATTTTATTTCCAGGTAATTCTTTTGGAGTAGGACCTTGAAAAAAGTCATCAATATCCCTGTGTGTGTAGACAAAGGATAAACATGAGGATATGAATTAAAGGGGTTAAGGACTCCAGCACCCATCATCATCCTGTATCAATCCTTCAGGTAGGAGGAAGATTGAGCATCCTAGTGAACATCCTATGAGTTTCTATTGCATTTTAAACAATCCTCGTGAGAAAGATGAAGTGTAATGACGACATATTTTTTTTTTTACTGTAAATCATAAAACAAATCAATATGTAAATGAACGTTGGAAAATAATCTGTAAATGCCATACACGATATCACAGTAGATTGTGTAAGATAATATGAGCTATTTATTTAAGCTTACTTTATTAATATTCAACACACAATATCCATCTATGCTGCTCAATTATCTTCAAGCATCAAAAGAAAATGGAAAATAGAAAATATAATGCGTGGGAGAGTTTACATCACGCAGTCTTTGATGATCAGTCGTATTAAATATTCATAACGCCGTGAATAATTAATTTGTGGCTAAGTAGTGGAGAGCCGGCGCTGCCTCTGTCCGGCATGACACTTCCTGCTCGTCACCTGGTGTCTGTCAGCCCTGGCGAACGACTCTGACTTTAAGAATAAGGATTTACAATATGGCTAAAAGAGTGAGGATTTACAATATGACTAAACAGAACGGTAAGAAAATTTAGAGTGTGAATGACGGGACTGATTTCAGGTATTTACAGCCTAAAATAGCAAAGCCTTAACCTATGTAGAAGTGAAAAGGAATACTGTAGATACTGTAGATACAACACACTGTATACTGAGCCTTCGGTACACCCGGAATCATCATGGCCGGTACTGCACTCAACCGCCTCCACTTCCCAACTTATAAAGGCACCGGTAAGTAACCATTTAAAGATAAGTGGAGTCAAATTGCCCCTCGGATCAAACCAACGATCATTAGGAAAAGAGGTGAGGAGTGTATCCAGTCAGCCACCACCTTCCATAACTCACACACAAGCATATAAACACAGGAGTACAGGTTACATTATTACGTCTCCCTAAGGCCACCGGTAGGGCGTTGTCGTGTTACTTGCTGAAGAAAAAGTCGAAGTTCAAGCAGCCGCCACTGTGAGGTAGTACAACACCGAATTGGCTATTAAAATGGAGAAGCTTTGCCCACCACGATACACATGATTAAAACTTTTTGCCACGCGTCACCTCCCTCTTTGTTGCTCCTCATTAACCACTTCAAGTAGAACAGCCTATTAAGTGACGCCATTAACACCAGATTTAACTCTTCATATGACTTTTATGATTACTTTTTCAGAACTTAAACGTCGTCTGGGTGTCTCTCTCCACTACCCTATCCATCAGTACTGGGACAAGACCTTACCAATTCTTCCAAACACGCTAAGAAAAGATGATTTAATATAATGCCATGATGATTTTTTTTTTCACAGAGTATTGTTATTGACAGCATATTTCGTTTTGTTTTGCAATAGTGTGTGTGTGTGTGTGTGTGTGTGTGTGTGTGTGCATATGTGTGTGCATGTGTAGGGTGATTAGTAATTTTTTGACACACACACACACACACACACACACACACACACACACACACACTAAATTAAGTAATGATTGGAGACATTTTTATTAATTTAAAAAAAATCGTCGCATCTTTACGTCTTGTGTAAACGTTTCTCTCAGGTCTCCAGGTCCCTCAGCTCAGGTCCCCCAGGTCCCCCAGGTCTCAGGTTCCCCATTACCTTCAGGTCCCATGTCCCTTCAGCTCTCTAGATCCCTAAGATTACTGGGTGTCGCCCATTCCTCGGGTCACCCATCATCCGCCAGGTTCCCAGATCACCCATCACCGGCTAGGTTCCCAGGTCACCCATCACCCGCCAGGTTCCCAGGTCACCCATCATCCGCCAGGTTCCCACAGGTCCCTCACTCCTCTACCTGTCATAGCTCTATCTCGCCCCCGCCCGTACTAAACGTCCAGGCCCATGCGATACGCCCATTATTACCCCGACAACCACACGCTCACATTACACCCTAAATCTACTAGCCCGGGACGTCTTGTAATGGGTGTCCTGGTCTCTCCTACAGCGCCAGCAGCAGATAGGTCGTGGAGGTGGCTTAACAGGATGTGTCTAGTGCTAATACGTGGGTACCGATGTTTTGCTTTGTGTCACATTGTTCAACTAATATGTTTATGATTTTAACTCTAGTGTGTAATTTTGGTGAGCTGGTTCGATCCCAGAAGGTATATTGTTCACAGGTGAGTAAAGTAGGTAAATCTGGTGCGAACGAGTGACCCTTAGGACGTGAGGCGAGCGCTGTATCCACTTAACCATCGCATCCAAAACTATAAGTACATACCTATAATGTATTTAACATATTTACGAGTATATGCAAAAAAGATCTATGATAATTCAATACTTTTAAAATTAATAGTAAGTTTTCAAAATATTTAAAAACTTAATGAACCAAAGTAAAAGTGATGGTACGGGGTGAGGAAGAGTGTGGGTGTGGGAGGCAAGAGGTGAGGGAGGGTGTGGTGGTGATGGAGAGAGGCAGGAGGTAAGGGAGGGAGTGTGTGGTGGTGGAGGGAGGCAGGAGGTGAGGGAGAGAGTGTTGGAGGTAGGAGAGAGGTGAGGGAGTAACTAGCCAACACACTCCTGCCCCCAGTTTATCATAATGAGTGGCCGCGTCTGCTCTCTACCTCTGACCCACCCCGCCAACACCCCACCCCTGGGCCATGAACTGTCCAGCCCACGCCCACAACACCACAACCACACGCCCACACCCCACCCCTAGGCCAAGCACGATCTAGCAAACAACTGCAACACCACCAGCACACACCCACCCACCCCCCCACACCCATGGACCAAGCACGATCCTGGAAACGCCCATAAAAATTTCTACACGCCTTAAACCATGTAATGTCTATGGCCACAACACCAGTACACACCTCCAACACCAGTACACACCTTCAACACCAGTACACACCTTCAACACCAATACACGCCTTCAACACCAGTACACACCTCCAACACCAGTACACACCTCCAACACCAGTACACACCTCCAACACCAGTACACACCTTCAACACCAGTACACACCTCCAACACCAGTACACACCTCCAACACCAGTACACACCTCCAACACCAGTACACACCTTCAACACCAGTACACGCCTTCAACTCCCTCACACACCTTCAACACCCCCACACGCCTCCAACGCCAGACTAACTATCGCCAGACGCTAAAGCTGATCAAGACCTGAAGCTACACATTCCAAGAGTCACAACACTGAACAGTATTGCTGGCAAATAATGACTATCATAACCTGTCTCTGTGTGTCTCGTCTACCTACTTGGTGAGGTTAAATTCCATTGTGGTTTTTTTTTGAGTTCTCGTATTCACAACGTCCGAGACAGACAGGCAGACAGACAGACAGACGGGGAGAGAGAGAGAAGGGGTGAGATAAGTGAGAGAGAGAGAGAGAGACAGAGAGATATATGTGCCCCGTGTCACTAAGTCCTCCCCCCTTATAGAGTGACAAACACACAAACAAATAAATAATCTTTTATAAATATGGCCAAAATGTGTCGAGGAGATGAACGCCATATTCTACCTTCACCTGGGAGAAAAGACAAAAAAACCACCGCTAATATAAACACGACTCGTCCGTGACCAGGTGAAAAGAAAAAAAATTATCACGAATTTTTTTGTTAAGGAACATAACCTTGGCCACGGAGACAGGGTGAAGGTAGAGGTGTCATAACCTAACCTAACCTAACCTAACCTAACCTAACCTAACCTAACCTAACCTAACCCGTTTATTGCCTATACCATTCTTCATAAATAAATAAATAAATGTGTCATATATACAATAAAAATCAAGTATATGTATGGAAATATAAGTAAAAATGTCATGGTTGTTACCCCAATGGAAGCAAATTTACGTATGTTTCAATATAAAGGAATAAGGAATTTTTAATATAACACTACGTCTAAAAATATATTCGCGTACATAATGTTAACACCTTAAAAGTCCTCATCATAGTCGTCCTATACACCAACCTTCACCCTTTCTCCTCCTCCTTCTTCGCCTTCTTCGGTATAAGTGTGTCCTGTCGTAGCAGCTTAGCAGACGGGTCATCCGTCACCTTCCTACATGGTGTTGGTGGCGTCAGCTGTCGTTACCCCGGGAGGTATCAGCCCCTCACTGCCCTACACGCTGTATCCTTCGTCGCCACACCTCCCCCCTTGCAGCCCTTAGCCCGTCTTCCTCTCCCTCGGGGGCCCCCCTACACCCGTCTGACATACTTCTGGAGCCGTGTGTCCCTCATCACCCGATACCTCCTCCCCCTGCCTTCTACAACAGACGGACGGACAGATGGACGGATGTGTTCTCTAGCGCCAAGAAGAGACTCTGTCTTGATAAAAATCATATCTACACTGTCACATCACATTACATGTAACTTAATACACATCCAACCAACAGTGATGAAAGTTACCATACGATAGTGGTTACCTAAAACATGATGTACTGTACAGTCCCCCCTCACTAGTGCGTTTACAGGGGCTCGTCAGGTTATATGTACAGTCCCCTTCACTAGTGCGTTTACAGGGGCTCGTCAGGTTTTGTGCAGTGTGGCAGTGCTGTGTTTATTTACATTTGACAGAAGGAAACTCACAATAGTAAACATATTTTAGAATCAAATTAAAACAATATTGAAACAACTATCTCAGTGTAATGATTTGCGGAATGTTTATAT